CCACTCCTCGCATTTCCACGTTTTTGTCTGCATGTTGTCCTTGGTATATCTAGTAATACCCAATTGTATACTTGACACTGGCTTTTCTCTGGCTCAAATGAACCTCACAGTAAAGTCCCAAACAGAACTGGTTCTTTTCCCCACCTACCCACACCTGGCCTTCCTGTCTCCTGGTGTTTTCTGTTTCACTGAATGTTACTAGTGTGCACCGAGGGGTGTAAGCCATGGATCTCGCAGTCCTGCCAGCACCTCTCCAACTCATCTTTCATATCCTACAACGAATGTCCCTTTTCTGGGGAAGCCCTTCCTAACCTCCCAGATAGACCTAAAACTGCCCATGTCACCTTCACTACACTTATGATACTTATGATTTTATAATTATTTCTACAGTCACTTAAGATTTGTCTCCTCAGTTAGGCCATCAGCTCACTGAGAGAAGGACTGCTCTCTAATTCAGGGTGGGGTCCCTACCTCCTAGTTCACAAGCTCAGCACTCAGTAGGTATCTATTGAATGACTATATGATGGGCACCTTTCAAACATATGACTTTGCTCATGAAAGTTCTGGATTCCCTTCCTCTCCTTGGTGGGTCAGTTAAGAGAGGGAAGATAAGTTCACTTCCCCTTCGCTGTATCACCCTTAAGTATTCACAAGAGATTTCATAAGGTCAGACAAAATCAACTTCTCAAGTTCAAGCCAGAACTTTTTTTCACATTACCAGTATTTCAGATATCGAGCTTCTCATTTGGTAAAAGACAAAGAGAACTCATCCTTCTCCAAGCCAACAGTGGACATAGAGCATGAGCACACTTGGCAAAAGTGCATCCCAGAAGGGGAGCCCAGCACACGCAAAGGCCGTGAGGTCAGAGCTCGCCTGATATTTGCAGGAAGAGCAAGGCCTCCAGAGCCAGGAGTGGAGTGGGTGGGGAGGAGAGGCTTTTACAACACGAGAAGCCCATGGGGCTGTTTGAGAGCACCAGCAGAGGAGGCGCAGGGCTGAATGTATGTTTTAAGAGTCTCACCAAGTGACTGCATAGAGGAGACAAGGCGGGGCAGACTGCAAGGGAAGAATCGGGAGAGAGTGCTACCACCTGTCATCTGCTACTCTCTGGCTCCCCTGAAAAGATCTAGAAGGAGAGAGTTTATGGGGAAATTGGGTGGAGGAAGGAGGTCAGGGAAACAGTGCAGGGAGTAGTTCTCTGGTCAATGCCAAGAGTCATTCCCTCGCCAGGCATGGCAGGGCTTGGTTGTGGCCTGAGTTTTGAGCCATGAGAGAGGAAGGTAGTGGCCCTTGAACTGGGCTGATGGATTTGCTCCATCTTGGGCTGAAAGAGAATAATTGAGGTCAGGTATCAAAACCTTCCTAGGAAACCTCCAAAAAGTAACCACAGCTCAGACATAAGACTGCTTAGTGGCCTAAGAGTCAACCACATGGGCCTGTAAGGGGAGAGGGGACCACAGGCCCCACGCCATTGTCCTTTCCCATCTGTCCCAGGTTCAGATCCTGCCAGATTTTGCACATGATTCTTGGTTCAGCCCCTTAGGTTCTCATGTTGTAGAAATTCCCCCAGGATTCTGAAGACCAGGTGAGTGGCCTCAATAGGAACACAGCCCTGGGGTCCTGGAAGGGCTGAACATGATGCCCATCATGTCCCCTTGCTGGCTGAGTCTGTGAGGTTGTGTGCACCTGAGCAGGTCAGTGTCCTCTCTAAGTGGGGTCAGTTACTCCACCAACCTTGATGAGCTATTGGAAGTGCCCAGTATTACATTACCTGGTATGTAATACACATGCAATAAGAATCTGTTATCCTCCAAGCATTTCTGTTTCTTCATAGGTCTTTTCATGCAAAGGGAGAGGAGGTTATGTCTGGAATTCTTACCAGGTACCCTTTTCCATGGAAACCTAAAATGTATTTTGGAATCATGTAGAACTAGTCCCTTGTCCTAGTCTTCATTTTAAAATTTCCTAGTTGCTTTTCTATATAGGTTTGTACAGATTTTCTAAAGTATTCTAAAGAATCTGAATGGTCCTGGATTGAGTTTGGTGCTTCTGGCTGGGAAAGAGTGAGGCCCACTGCTGAGAAGTGACTGACATCTATCTGTGGCCCCAAACAAAGGTGGAAGGAAGCCGTGAGCAGGGCCTGGCCCTCTGTGACTCCATCCACCCAGGAGGGCTTGCCCACATCATCCTGACAGGCTGAATATTTGGAAACTGGGAAACTCAGAATTCGGTTTTGGTCTGCTCCACTCTCAGGAAACCCAGATGACATGTGACTGTGTACAAACATGCCCCTTTGGCTACACAGGGCAAGGTGAAGGCCAGTGAGGCTGCTGGGAATAAGCAAATGAGGAGCAGTCTCCACTGTCCTTGGGTGCTCGTCCTGCAGTGGGAAGTCAGCTCCCCAGCAGAGCCTTCCCTGTCTTGCCACCACTGCCTTCCCAATTCCTGACCCTATGCAGGAAGTGCTTATCAGTGAGATTGTTGAAGATCAAACAGTCAACGTGGTTTCTACCACAACTAGCATGATGGATTTAGGGGCCAAGTCGGCTGGCTGTGACCATTTTTGTCCCCTGCATGTAGAAAGCAAAACTCTACTGATTGGTTGCGGGGACAGGGCATTAAACTCTGACAGGTTGCAAATGTCCTGGGGAAAACAACCTCCAATCCCTCTGCTCCTGCCTGGATCCCTGCTCTGGACGCCTGGACTAATTAGCGTCTGGCAGGTGTCTAGAAAGAGCTGCCTGGCCGGCCATGGTGACATCATGGCAGGGCATTGCTCCCCCATTCCGCTGCTGAGAAAGTCTCTGTTTCATTAGGCTGCTAGAAGGATTACTTTTTAATTTTTTTAATCCCCTTTGTAGGTTCTGGCTCCAATTAGTCTTGGAGAACACTTATCACGCTCCTTCCCGCCCCCACTGCCTCAACAACTGTGCTCTAGTTAAAGTTACTGTTCCCAGAGGAGTGAGGCTCACCTTCCCTAGGCGGCAGGCGCAGTCCCGTGCCCCAGCCCCCACGCATCAGCACCAGCAGCAACCCGTGCTACCATGGCTTTGTACTCATATACTAGGGATGGAGATTTCAGTGTGGCTGCTGTGCTCTCAACTTTGTGCTTTTCAGGTGATTCTAAAGGGCTTCTCATCACCTCGCTGGTTCCTGGATTGTAGTTTGTATAGTATCCACAATTTAGATACTGTAAATGGTTAAATTGGTTCAGACATTTGTAGTCTTGGGAATAATCCACTCAATAAATTGTGCAATAAAAACACCTAAAAACCTGTGTTTATGAAACTATGCAAAACAGTGAACCCTACAGTAACCTAGAGACTTTAATTAATAAGAATTCACTGGTATTGGTTCATCCATTTGTACAAATGTTCCACATTCATGCAATATGTTAGTAACGGGGAAACTGAGGTCAGGGGAGAATATGTGGAAACTCTCCATTGTGTCTGCTCCACCTTTTTAAGCCAACAACTGCTCCCAAAAAATATCTGTTAATTTAAAAAATGGTAATATAGGCAGGAGAGAAGTAGATGGCAGCATAGATAAAATAAGATTAGCCCACAGTTGGGGTAATTTTTGAGGATGGGTGATGGATCTATGGGTGAGAGTTCATTATAAATTATGAAACTCATCATTTAATACAGTTTTTTAAAAAACTTAAACTAATTCAATAATGTGTCTTTTCTCATTATAAAATAATTCACATACATTGTAGATATTTGAAAAATATTAAAAAGTACCTATAATAAAGTCACCCAAAAATATCATCAGCATTTTGATGTGGCTATATATACAGATAACCAAACGGGGATCATACTGAGGAAGCAGCTGAGGGCCCTGACCTTCTCTTCAACTTTCTAGTGTACTATGAACATCTTCCCATGTCTTAAAATTAACCCCAAAAACGTGGTTTTCAAATAGCCACATAACATTTCATGGTATGACGATACTATGAAGTCCAGAAATTGAATTCCCACCTGAATGGCCCTTGTCCCATCTGTCTGAGATCGTCAGAGGCGTGAGCCTGCCATGCACACCAGTCCTGCAGCAGGGAAGCCTGACAGCAGGAAGGCCCTTTGGCCTTGGTCCCCAGCTGGGGGTGAATTTCTCACATTCAAGTTGTAAATGCACCTCCATGCTGTGTAACAGGGTAGAAAAGGCACATTTCCCCTTTGGGATGTCCATAATTTTGGGCGGATTTACTGTTTACAGAAAGGAAGGGGCTGGACTTGAGTATCCAGAGCCCTGATGTGAATGCCATTGCTTTCCCTGAACCCAGAACCTGCGTGGGGTCCTGGGGGTACCCAGGAATCAAGATAATTTCTGCACCACTGAGTCACCCTGACCTTCTCTCCTGCCCAAGAAAGTACATCAGAGGGCAAGTGGGTGAGAATGATGTTACAGCAATAAAATTCACTTACAAACTAGCAAACACTTGAACTCAACCTCACTCCCAACTGTGGCTGCAAATCACCCAGAGGATGATCCACTGGCTCCAGGTGGGCCCTGCAAGCCCAAGGATGGGCCTAGTGATGGGTCTTCTCAGATAACCATCCCCCTCATTGGGCAGAGAATCAAGGTTAAAGGTGGATTGCAATGGGATCGAGCAGCCAAGTAGATGGAATGCACCCTGGCCAAACTGTAGATAATACATCTAATGAGACTTCTAGCTCAGATCTGGAAGAAGCAGATTCTCAGTGCACAAGCCAGTTCTTCCTGAAGCTAAGCAGATACAAGTGCCAGCCCACCAATACCTCTGCCAAATGTATTTTCTTCACAAAGATGGAGGGAAAAGTAGGCCTAAAACTTTCAATTTGAGGAATATGTGTTTTCTAAAATCCAGGTTCCCTGCCAATATATCCAGAACTTTATCTTGAACAGTTTAATCAGACAACGTCAAGGAGTAAAATCCATGCTTCAGAGGAAACGGAGCTGTCAAGAATCCCACAGAGCACCTGTGTGTCTGGATCAAGGGGAGTCTTCCAGCTCCACCCACCTGGGAAGGATTCCTCCGTCAGTCAGCCGAATTCCTGAGAATCACAGGGTCCACAGCTTTCAGGTGCATCTGTGGGGAGGTGCTTGCCCTTGTGAATGGGCCCCACGTCAAGAGTCTTGTGGACATCACTGAGGCCATGCAGTTGAGTAGTGGACGGATCAATCTGAGATTCTAGTCCTCAGTCCAGAAGGCTGGCTCCCAAGGATGTGCAGTCAGCTGGGAAAGAGGAAAGGCTTCCATCAAGGGAAACAGCCTTTTGTGGACCACAGGGAGCACAGAGAAGCCAAGGAACATCACTCCCACACTATAGGGAGCCACTCTGTGGACATGCCATGGAGACAGATGCCGATAGAGCATCCCACCTATAGCCGCTCCCCGACAATTTTAGGAAATGGATCTCCTCTTTAACACTGCAGTTGGGGCAGGTCTGTTTGACCCCCAACGTGTTCAGGTCTGCTTGCTCCTCAGGTCTGTGAGAGCAACAACTTGTCTGACTGTGGGACTGAGTGGACTCAAAATCGTTACCCTGTCTGAAAGGAAACCAGTAGAATGCTTCAAAGTGATGGAGACAGAGGCTGAGGGAGAAACAGTGCCAGCGTTGACTACTGAGGCTCCGTGTGAAGCCTCCTCAGGCCTGCCTGGGGTTCACTCATTTGGCTCCGATAAGGCTCGGTGAAAGGAGGCATTCCTGCCCATCAGGGGTCTGTACATGTTAGAGACTCTAGAACATGGAATGTTCCTCTCTCAGCAAGGGATGGCTGAGAATGTGATTCCAGAGGGCACTGTGACCTCACCAGCCACAGGGAGAAGAACCCCAGGTCCTGAGCATGCTCTTTGAGGAGGGGGTTCTGACAGAGTAGGAAGTGGGCCGTGGGGGTCACCGCTGTTCCCACGTCACCACAGTGAAAGCCTGCTAGGAAACACACACCAGAAATGGGATATACTCTAGAAAACACAAAGAAGGTAAGATGGATAGAATAAAGGAATTAAGGTAAACAGGCGTGGGATGAAACCACTTAGAGTCAAGAAAATGGCATTTAGAAAGAACATAAGGACAAAAGACTAAACTTTGAAGGTTATTGATAGCTGAAATATACAAGCAAAATAAGCTAAAGGAATTAGAATAGATAAAAGTAAGAGCTATTAAAGACAATAAACTCAATAGATAATGAAAATGAAAACACTTATTAACCACAATAGCATACCAGTTAAATTATGATAGATTATATGTGATGAAATGTTAATATATCTCTGAACATAGTGTTCCAGAAAAACCAGCAATGAACAATACATACTATGTTATTGACATAGTACATGATAAAAGTAAACATGGTACAATTCCAACCTAAACTATATATACACACACGCATATGTATGTAGACAAATATCATTATGTATTTACAGAAGTGTGTGGCCATGCAAATGTGCATGCGCAGATAAAATATGAAAGAAAATATAGAAAAGTGCTAACAGTGGTTAAGCCAGATAATTACTAATTTTTAAAAGGATAGGTCTTTTTTTAAACCATTTACAATGATTCTGAATTACTTTTATTGCCTGAAAAAAAGTTTTCAAAACTTTTACAAAAAATAAAAAGACGTCTTAAAATATATCTATGAATAAATAAAGTTTCGTGTTGCTTTAAAGTTATTCCACTAGAGACACTTAATTTTTTACTTGAAGAGATGTTACAGAAGGAAAAATACTTCAAATGATATTCTTTATATAATACGAGGATATAATGTTCATTTATTCGTTAGAAGGTATTTATCCCACATTGGTTCATGCAAGCTGTTACCCAGGCACTGGAGAAGTAACAAACCTGACAGATTTTCGTCCTCCATGATCTCACAGAGAAGTGGGAGCTGAGCACCACATATGCGTGGACACGGAGGGAACAAGGACAGCTGGGCCTACTTGAGGGTGGAGGGTGGAGAATGAGGATTAAAAATTACCCATAGGGTACCCCATGGGGTACCATGCTTATTCCTTATTGTATACAAGGTAATCTGTACACCAAACCCCCATGACACACAATTTACCCATGTAAAAATCCTACACATGTACCCCTGGAGCCAAAAATAAAAGTTGGAAAGAAAAAAATTCTGTCTTCTAAGGATTACACAGTAGTTGGGAGAAATACACAATCAATAAAGAGTATGCCCAATGGTGAGAAGGGCAATGGAGAAAAATAGAGCAAAAGGGATGGTTGGTTCTAGGAATTTGCTATAATTTTAAATAATCAAATGGTGAAGAACAAGTCCCAGAGACGGTGACTTTTGGGCAAAGACCTGGAGGAGGTGATGGTGCCATCCTGTGGACAGCGTGTGAAGGCATCCAGGCAGGTGAGCCAGTGCGCCCCACGAAGTAGGGGGAGGGGAGTAGGAGTGTGACTTTGGCTGTGACTGTGAGCAAGCTGGGAGGTCTGGAGGGCCAGATGCCAGATGCCGAGAAGAATACAGCAAAGGGCACCAGTGGCCAGGTCTGCGCACACGCAAATGCACCTGCTTGCCTCTCCGAGACCCTCTTTCAGCACCATCGAAGTGTGCAGCTCAGGGCTCCAACCCAAACTTCATCTAAGGGGGATGCAAGTCACCGGGGGCTTATCATCATGTATTTCCATAAAATATCATAGTCACTCAAAGTAAATCCAACTTCAAATCACAATTTGAAGGAATGAAATATGCTAAAAGAACTTGAACAAAGATACAGAATGGGAAGACTGAAGCAGCTGTGAGGCTGACTGAGCACACATTGCCAGGAAGCAAGACCTTGTACTCAGAGCCACAAGGTCTGGGATGTTGTGAAGTTCATGCTTTTCAGGCAACATCCAGGACACGGAGTTAAAGGCAGCAGGTCGTCCAACCCAACCATCACCATGGAAGTTTCCTGAAATGGATGTGTGGCAGCCTTACTGAATCCAAGGCAGGACAGACCATTCTTTGACCAGAAGCTTCTGAGAGAGGCAGAGCTGAGTTGCTCCCGGTCTAGTCACAGGTGGCATGGCTGGCTGGGAGGGCCAGGACAGCTGTGACTCTGGGCTTGGGAATCACCCTGGGGTCATGACCTTAGTCGGTTAGTTTAATGGAGGGTTTTTATCCAAAGATGTAGTGCTGCCTCTGCCCGGTGCATTTCATGGTTACATCTTCCCAGCGGACCTAGTGAAAGGGAGCCCTTCAGCAAACACAGGACCCACTGAACTCCATACTGCCACGACCGGAGGCCTTCTCACTGCCGCTTCACCAGCGAAGGAGAACACGGGGGCCATTTCCCATTCCCAAGAATAACACAGAGCTGGACGGGGGAAGGCTTCCCTCCCAACATCAGCATCCGCCATGCAAGTGGGGATACCTCCTGCCAGCTTGGCTGCTAGATTCAGCAGAGTACAACCAGATGGGCGGTGCCCCCAGTGTAAATTTCCCCTGGCCTGAATGGAACATAGCTCTCTCCAAGAGCCTGGGAAACTGGAGGGACTCAGGACCTAGAGAAATCTGTGGGATCATTTCCATTTTTGGTCTCCATCATCAGGAGATTGCAGGTTTCAGGTTTTAAAATATTCTCGTTAGTCTTTCTCCAGCCATTTTTGATGGAGAGAGCTTGTTAGGTCTAAAAAATGAGAGTTCTTGGAATTACAGATTGAATCATGGATGAAACCTCTTAACAAGGGGCTATCCTCACACATTTTTCCAGGATAAACCTTCAGCTCGGTTATACTGTCCCAGTTTCTAAGAACTATTTTAGGGATGGTCCCTGCTTCTGTGCACAGTTAACTGGCATTACTGTTCTTGTGATCTGGGCCAGTTGAGCGACTGTGTTAACAGTGGAGCCGCTCTCTCTTTTTTGTTTGTTTGTTTGTTTGTTTGTTTGTTTGAGACAGTCTTGCTCTGCTGCCCAGGCTGGAGTGCAGTGGCGTGATCTCGACTTACTGCAACCTCTACCCGCCGGGTTCAAGCAATTCTCATGCCTTAGCCTCCCGAGTAGATGGCACCACCATGCCCAGCTAATTTTTTGTATTCTTGGTAGAGACGGGGTTTCGCCATGCTGACCAGGCTGGTCTCGAATTCCTGACCTCGTGATCCGCCCACCTCGGCCTCCCAAAGTGCTGGGATTACAGGCATGAGCCACTGCGCCCGGCCCTCTCTCTTTATTGTACAGAAACACACGCTTTATGCCTGTGGGGGAAGAAAGGAGACAATGGCTGAGTGGTGGGGAGAAGCACGGCCTCAGTCCACTGGCCGGGCCCTAAACACCACAACACCACATAGTTCGGAGTTTGTGGTGAAACATGATACTTGACACCGTTCTTGAGGCACCTAAGGCTGGACCCTAGAGATTAGATGCAGCTTTACCAGGCAGTCGTTAGAGCAAGGCAACAAAGCTGTGGTTCATGCTTTCCCCCATGAGACCTGCCAGGCCTGATTTGTCCTTTCCAGGGTGTGGTAGCAGCCGTCACAGTGCCCAGCACTTTGCCATTTACAAAGAACTTCTGCATTGATTATTCCCTTTGAGACTGAGACCAATGTGTGAGATTGTTAAGTGAAGACCACATCAGGATTGCTAAGTGACTTGCCAGAGGTGGTGAGAGGCAAAGTGGCAGGGCCTGAACTTCTGACCCCAAGTAGACTCTCTGGGGAGTCTCCCCTTCCCCAGCACCACCCAGCTGTAGGTGAGCTCACGCTGTAAACATATTCCACCACCACTGTGTATAAACGCCTTCTCTAGGAATCCGAATTGATTGGGCTGAGCCTATGTATCCTCCAAAACAAGGAGTTTCCTTAGCAGACTTCCTCCTACCTGCAGAGGTGAGCTAGTCCCCCCTTCTCTGTGCTGCCTCTGTCTTCTAAGGGCCCAGCCATTGTTTCTTATTATTTTGTACTGTAAGTGATTTATTTGCATGTTGAGCTTTTAGCCTGTGAATTCCTTAGGACAGCAACTACTTCTGGACAGATGGAGAGAGCAGAGTTCTTAAGCATGTGGTCTTTGGAATAAGGCTGCCTAGCCTGGGATCCCAGTCTCACCACTTACTTGCACTTGAAAGAAAACTGCTTCACTCTCTGTGCCTTCCTTCACCCGCCTGTAAAATAGGACTGAGAACCATATTGCCAGCGCTACGATTATTGTGAAGATGAAAGCGGCTAATCATGTAAATCACTGGAACAAACATCCTAAATGTGCGTGAATTGTAAAATTGATCAATTAAATATACTATATTCATGCAACGGAAAAATATTCTCCAGCTATTATAAGGAAAGAAACACGTCTAAACCCATCATCATTTCATTCACTGTGATCATCATCATCATCATCATCATCATCCTGTTTGCATCCTGAGCTTCTACCACAGCTGGCCACACAGCAGGTGCTCCATAAAGGCATGTCAAGTGAATGAACAAATGAATGTACTTATCAAACCGACTTTTCCCTTTGAGACTGAGACCAACGTGTGAGGTCTCAGCCAGGGGAAAACAGAAATGTTACTTACCCTCATCTAGGGCAGTCACAGCTGACTGGACCATATCTAAAATCACTAGGATCACTGCTTCCTCAAAAAAGAATGCACAGAAAATTCAATGAGTTGAATTTAGTGCTCCTAAGTTAATTTACCCAAATGAAAAGTACAGGACTCCAGGCCAAAGAGGCCCACTTATTCATTAATAAATATTATGCAAACTAAGAAACTTTGTTTCTGTCCAGGCAAAGTTGCCTGGCTGGAGCTGCTTGGAGCCCATCAGAAACCCCAAGGACATGGATGTAGGATGTAGGAGCCTGGAAGGGAATCCAATATATCCTTCCTCTTTCTTTTTAGGATGTTTCAGAGCAAACTAAAAGGGTAACCACCACAGAAAACTACCAACACGGATTTTTATACAAGGCTCTGTGGGGTATGTATGTACGTTTGTGCTGTTCTTTATGTCTGGTCCGTTGAGCCATTAAAGGGAAAGGTAACAGTTTCATGGAGCTTGTAAAGAGAAATGGGATGTTTACATTGATAAGCTGTCATTAAAAAAAAATCAAGTCAAGTCTTTCCTGTCCAAAAAAGCAGCTATCAAAAAGGAAGAGATCTTTTATAAAAATCAGAAAATGTCAGAATCTCAGATAACAGTTACAAAGCCCTTTGGTGTGATTAAATTTTTGAAAGATTAAAGATGAATTTATATAAGTACTATAGTAACTAATACATGAGCTCAAACAGAAATGTGTCCGAATTTTTATTGCAGTCTTTTTTGTTATAAGGTGAAAAATCTGAAATAGCAGAAATGCAAATGAATAGGTAAGTTGGCAAATTAAATGTAGCATATTGACACAAGGGGGAAATATCACAGAGAAATTGTAAAACCATATATATACATGTATGTATGTATCAACAAGGATAAATTCCACAAACAATCTAAGTGTTAAAAAAAAGGAAGTCCCAATATGACATAGTGACATTGCAGTGTGATAAAACTTTTACAAATTTCCAGTGACTTCCATATGGATACAAAGTTCCATAAACTTTCAATGATATGACTGACCACAGCAGTAGGGTAGTTTTTAAAAGTTCCAAACTCCTTAAAACTAAACAGAGCAAATATAAAGTGGAAAAAAACGAGTCTGTGGATAACATCTTCAATAGCGCTGGGTAACGGGGAGTCCTTGATGACCTGAGTAAAGGTAGTGAGCAGCAGGACTGTGGGAGGTCAGCAGCTGCAGGTCTAAGTTAGGAAAGGAGGGAAAAGCCAATGTACCCTAAAATTCATAACACTAGAACAAAAGAAAATGCAAATAAGGACGCCAACAAAAACTCACATCCAAGATTTTCAACACCTACTAGGAAGATTGAGAAAATAGGTATCGTGAATCTGCCTCAGAGCCCCTGTCCTTATAAACAGGGTACCTATGAAGACCAAAAAGCCCAAAGGCAATATCTACTAAAACATCAAGATAACAACATGTCTTCATAACCCAAAATTATAAAGCAGGAACAAGTCACTTACAGCTATGTGACCTGCATGAGATGATGACACTTCTCATAACACTGGCAACCAACAAACAAAAAAATTCCAAAAAATACAAGTCAGAGAGCAAGAGAGGTCAATCTGAGAACAGTAGTTGAAACTTTTAAAAAAGAGTACTTATTTTTCAAAAAATACTTTGTTTTTCTGGATAACACCAGACAAAAATAACAAGATATTCAAAATGGAAGAAATATCAGATTGTCATCAGACATTTTAACAGCATTATTTTGTGCCAAATGACAATGGAATTACATATTTAACATGTTCAAAGGAAGAAATGAGGCCAGGGATTTTACATCCAGCCAGATTAATATTTAAAAGCTGAGTGCAATCTCTTATAAAAAAAAAAAAAAAGTAAAAACTCAAGACATATTATTCGCATGAGTCATTCATGAGGCGTCTACTGGAACTAAATTGCCATATGGACTGATAATGATGACTGTCAAAGGCTGTTAACATCACAAGAGAAAATCAGACATTATGTGCTTCCCAGCTGAAGTACATACACTACCTATGAAGTATTCTTGTCAAAAAAATTGAAGCGTCCAGATCTAACTACCAATCTACATGAAATACAGAGAATAGAGGAGCATGTCAAATAACACAATGGAGAGAAAAATCAGTAAATTCAGACAGGGGAAATCTCTACACAAAAACAAACCATTTCCTTCAACAAGGAATCATCTGACATTTTCCAATTTTTACAAAATCTCTCTTATTTTTTGACACCCACTCTTTTGGGCAGGAAAGACCTAACTTATTTTTTTTAATTATAGCTTATTAAAGTAAATAGGCTATTTTCCTTTATAAATTCCCTGAGACTGCTACCTTTTCCTTCAATGCCTCAAAATCAAACAGAAGGAAAATAAAACTTTTAAAGTAAACAGATTACAGGTTAAGCTAGAGCACAACTTCATGCAGTCTGGCATACATGTAAGTGGAGTTTCTGAAGGGGAAGAGAACAAGGAGAGAAGATAAGTGTTTAAAGAAATTATGAATGAAATTTTCCAAATTTCAGGAAAACCATAAATTCACAGATCTAAGAAGCTGAATGAACCCCAAGCATAAGAAACATGAAGAAAACTACACTGAGGTACAGCATAAATAAATTTCTTGAAATCAGTGATAAAGAGTGTATTTTTAAGTAGTCAGAGAATGAAAGGTATGTCAAATACAGGTAATCAAAGATAAGGATAACATATTCCTTAATGAAAACTATTCAAACAAGAATGCAATAGAGAATACAATATAGCAAAGAGAATGCATTAGAGCAAATTTTTTTTTAATTTTTTATTGGATTTTAGGTTTTGGGGTACATGAGCAGAGCATGTAAGACAGTTGCGTAGGAACACACATGGCAGTGTGCTTTTCTTTCCTTCTCCCCTTCACCCACATCTGGCATTTCTCCCCAGGCTATCCCTCCCCACCTCCCCCTCCCACTGGCCCTCCCCTTTTCCCCCCAATAGACCCCAGCAAATTTTTAAGGTAGTGGTAAGCAGAAAAAAAACTGGTGAACCAAGAGTTCTACATCTACACATTGGTAGATTTAAATCTATCATCTCATTTGTTTTGTATTTTTCTCATCAATTCTTTCCCCTTATTTGCATACATTTTAAATTTAAATATTTTATATGATTCCATTTTATGTCCATTTTTGCTTATTAGTGATGGTTATGATTTATGAAGCATAATTATGTTTCAAAATTGAGGACAAAATAAGGAATTTCAGTCATATAAATGTTGAAATCATTTAATTCACCAGCAAGTACATAATATACAAAAATGAAAAAGAAAGTATCAGATGAAAATGTGGATCTGTACAAGTGTATGAAGAGCATGGAGACTGGTAAAAACAAAAGTAAAATATGTTTTCTTATTATTTAAATATTGTGAATATTATTTAAATATCTTTATTTAAAGAGTAAATATTAAGTCTTTAAACAAAAGTGACTATAGTGTAAGGTTTATATGACATATGTACATGTTAAATGTATGGCAATGATAGCACAGAGCTAGGAGAGTAGAAATGGAAATATGGTGCTATAGGGCTTTCTAAGTATTCATGAAGTGGTACAGTATTAGTTAAAGACAGACTGCAATAAGTTAAAGACATATACTATAAACTCTAAAGTAACCACTAAAATATTAAAATAACAAAACAAATAACTATCACAAATCATAACTATCACTAACAATCAAAATCTGACATACAATGGAATCATACAAAATATTTGATAAATCTTAAAAAGGCATACAAATAAAATAGAACAACAAACTGATGAAAAAAATACAAAATAAATGAGATGATAGATGTAAGCCTAACAATATCAATGATAACATTAAATGTAAATGGCCTAAATACCCCAATTGGAAGACAGAAATTGTTAGCTAAAATAAAAAAACCAAGACTCAATTTAAGCTACTCTCAAAAAATGCACTTAATAAAGTTGTGGAACTCAAAATTAACATAAAAACTTAGTTGCATTTCTTTATACCAATAACAGTTTACTGAAAAAAGAAATCAAGAAAACAATTTCATTTATGATAGCATCAAAAAGAATAAAATACTTAGGAATAAATTTAACCAAGTTAGTGAAAGACCTGTATACTGAAAAGTATAAAACATTGGGAAAAAATTAAAGACACGAGCAAATGGAAAGATATCTCATGTTTATGGACTGGAATAATGAATATTGTTAAAATACCCATACTACACAAAGTGATATACAGATTCAATGCAGTCTCTACCAAAATTCCAATGGTATTTCTCAAGTAAATTCAAAAAGCAATTATAAAATATATATGGAACCAAAGAGATACCAAATAGCCAAGACAACCTTAAAAAAGAATAACAAAGTTGGAGACATCACACTTCTGGATTTCAAATTATAGTACCAAGCTGTAATAATCAAGAGTGTGATACCGGCAAAAAAAAAAAAAAAAAAAAGGCACATAGACCAGTGGAACAGAACAGAGAGCTCAGAAATAAAACCAAGCATATATAGTCAAATAATTTTTGACAAACACATCAAGAAGGCACAATGGGGAAAAAGAGAGTCTCTTCATTATTGATGTTGGGAATATTGGATAACAATATACAAAAGAATGAAATCAGACACTTACATCATACACAAAAATTAACTCAAAATAGACTAAAGACTTAAACATAAGACCAGAAACAATAAAACTTCTAGAAGAAAATACAGAGGGGAAACTCCTTGTTCTGTTTGGCAATGATTTTTTTTGAATATCACACAAAAAGTTCTAGCAATGATGCAAAAATAAAAAAATTAAACTGCACCAAACTAAAAGCTTTTGTACAGCAAAAACAAGTTAACGAGATGAAAAGGTAGCCTATGGATTGGGAAAATTCAAGCCATATATCTGATAAGGGGTTAATATCCAAAATATACAGGGAACTCATGCAACTCAATAGCAAACTAAAAAATAAAAACAACCCAATCAATAAATTGGCAATGACCTGAATAGATATTTTTTCAAACAAGACATAAAATGGTCAACAGGTATCTGAAAAAGTGCTTATCATCACTAACCATCAGGGAAATGCAAATCAAAACCATGATGAGATATCACTTTACACCTCTTATAATGACTATTATTTTTTCAAAAATGAGATAACAAGTAGTGGATATGGAGAAAAGAGATCGCTTGTACACTGTTGGCAGGAAAGTAAATTGGTATGGCCATTATGGAAAATAGTGTAGAAGTTCTTCAAAATATTAAAAATAGGACTACAATGTGCCCCAGCAATCCCTCTGCTGAGTGTATACCCAAAGGAAATGAAATCAGCACCTCATAAAGATACCTGTGTCCCATATTCCTTACAGCATTATTTACACTAGCCAAGATATAAAAACAACCTA